GCACTTATGTATGTTGGAATAGCAAATCATGTTTAGTTGAACACGGTTATATAAATTAACATAATTAGCATCCACCGCTTCCGTAAATAGTATCTAAGGCCTGATGCTGTGGAGTGGAGCGAATCTCTTGCTCCTCCCGGGAACAAAACCATGGCCGTCCATCCCAACAGACTGAGCTATCCCGGTTCCGAAGAACATTAAAATCTAAAATAACAGTATGAGGGGGTGATATGAATTCAACTGGCTCATGCAGACAGACTGCTGTCGCCATCTTGTGAAAATAGTACCGAAATTCGTGTCCCATAAAAGTAAGAGAATTTCTCGATCGGCTCAGTAAGTAGGGTAGGTAAAGTTGTTCCTGTACTTAACTACTTAAGCACTACGCCACGAAGGCGTATGGGGGTTGTGGGTGTATAGATTAAAGTGTTCTTCACCTCGACACTAGTTAAAGTGGTCAGCTTCACGCCCGAACCGCTTTAAACCCAGAGAAATATCTGGGAATTCACTGGATACGAGGCTGCGTGGGTTCGAGCACCGGTCTGGATGACATGGAAAGTGAAAAATTCTTGCCCCTACCGGTACTCGATCTCCGACCCTTCGGCCATCCAGCCAGTTACTATACCGACTACGCTATCACGACTCACAGGTAGAGTACGTTTTAAGATAAACGACTGTACTTCATGGTGTTGGTTACTTGAAGTTCTGAAGACTGACTTCAGCCACCTCACGAGTTAATATATACGGCTCGAATTTGTGCGTGACTGCCCTTTCACCTGCTCCAGAGAAAAATAAATGAAAAGTAGGTTATGAACAAATGCAGGGCTGTATTAGGCAATATTAAAAATACACCCTATACGGGTTTTATTGTCGGATATCGCTTTATCCCCCCTCTATGTGCAGAGAAATCGGCGGTCTGCCCTTTCACTAAATTTCCAAGCATTTACAACAGTTCTGTTACGTAATATGATAGAAGTCACGGCCTGCTTTGGTTCTAGTCATGATCAGAACTGTATTTTGCTGCGGAACTGCTCGGACACGAATGCGCATGATTCTCGGGTCCGTTTACTTACGTCACTACGATAATTTTGAAAGATCACGTATATGGAAAGGTCGTGGACTAGTGATTGCCTGCTGAACAACGATAGAATCTCTTGTGTCTCCATCTTTACGGTGTTCTTGAACCATTACATCTGATCCACTCACGCGCTCAAGCGACGGGCTGAGGGAAGAGAGTCTTTCTTCTCCAGTGTCCAGCCCGGCTCTGGGTCTCGCTCACCGTCCATGGCGTGAAGCTGACCATTCTTAATTTAGTACCCAGGTCAAGAATGATGATGTCATACCTTCACTCCCCAATACATCTTCATGACATGGTGCTTAATTAATTAAAAACAAACAAAATACAAATTCCGTGGCCTGTAGTCTACAAGCGAATTACACCGACCCGAGTGACCGCCGCTTGTCGAAGTTAGTGCCAACTTTAGCGGATGGATGGTGTCGCGTGGTCGGCGCAACGAATTCCCACGACCGTTAAATTCGGTTTTCTAAACCGGAGCCGCTATTTACTTGAAATAGCTCCTCAATTATCCTCGCGAGGCTGAGTGGACCCCGTTCCAGACCCAATACTTCTCAGAAAATCTGGTAGCACAGGGAATCGAACCCGGGACCTCTGGATCTGTAGGCACAGAGGCGGTCTCCATAACACAAATGTGACAGCAAAAACATGTGGTGTGGATTACACTGAAACACCGCCAAAAATAGCGCCCAGAACGCAATGAGCCCCCTTGTCACCTTCACAGAATCTCTTCAGAATTTCGCACGCATATGAAAGTTCCAGAAAATTGCTTTAAATTACAGTTAAATTGAAACACTGCGCGCCTTATATGCAGATACTTTTACAAACTAGTTTATTTTCGCTTCGTTAACAGTAAAGAGATTTACCGCCATGATATCTCGCGTTCCCACGTCCTGATTTCTCAGTTATAAGCAAGTTACAGACGATGCCCTGACTGTGCAACCAAACTGCACCTTTTCTCTCGCATTGTTCACGCATTGATCATTGGTGATATTCTATATGTGGCGATGCTGATAACCAGGTCCCGGATTTTGATGACCTGAAAATATTTCTAAAAATGACCTATAAAATGACTGAAAAAATCCAGAAAAATGATCTAAAATATGACCCAAAATGTAATAACCTGGGCCCGGACTTTGATGACCTGAAAATATTTAAAAAAATGTCCTATAAAATGACCGAAAAATCCAGAAAAATGACCTAAAATATGACCCAAAAAATGTAATATGCAGGGCCCGGATTTTGATGACCTGAAAATTATCAAAAAATGACCGAAAAAAAAAACAGAAAAATGACCTAAAGGAGAAAAGAAAGAACACTTCGCTTCCATGTTATTCACATTTCACAAAACATATGAAGAAAAATTCCCTAAAATGGCCAAAAATGACAAGAAATACCCTTATAAGTCCAAAAATTTACCCAAAAAAATGAAAAAATGACCTTAAACCTAAAAATGTCAAAAAATGACAATATACCTATATAATTTACATTTCTGTAACCAGCAGCTCATATCTGAAAATTGTATATTTAAGAGCATCGCATAGGATACAAGGAAAAAATGATGACATGTCATCAAAATCCGGGCCCTGCTGATAACTTTATAGAAACACTGAAACAGGAGAGATACGTATTTTTTCGCCTTGTGCTGCTGGTTGAATAGAAATTTCGTAACATGTAGCGTTCACAGATGGCAGATTATGAACTGAGTGTATCAAGCATATCCCAAATTTAATCTGCTTTTAATTTTTTTTCGGGAATGTGCTGTCATTTTAATGGAGCATGCAGTACCGTAGTTGGTTGAGTCAATATGATACAAATCGGAAGGTCGCGGGTTTGAGTCCCGAAGAGGTAGATTCTTTTCAGTTGACCTAATCCTTCCAACCGTACTATGGGTCTTGAGGTCGACTCAGCTTTTAACAGAAATGAGTACCAGGAATCTTCCTGAGGGGTAAAGGACGGCCGGCGCGTAAGGCTGACAACCTCACCGCCATCTGTGAGGCAACTGTCTAGAGAAAATGTAGGAACCTTGACGTCTCACAACCCTATGGGCCTCCACGGCGTGTTACAGGGATAGCTTTACCTTTTTACCTTTACTGTTAATCTCAATCTGTTAATATCGTTCTCAAACACAAACTTTATCATGGTTTTAAAAGACTTGTTAGCTGCTAAGTAATATTAAACTTTTTGTTATTGCTAGTGGGGTGGGACTAAATCCCTTGTACTGCGGCCACTTCTGGTCTATTGTACCAGCCCCAGATGATAGGTGAGGGTGATTGTGAAGCAATTGTTGGAATGAAGATTGGCAGGGGAAACCGAAGTACTCGGAGAAACCCCGCCCCAGCGCCACTTTTTCCACCACAAATCCCACTTGACCAGACCCGGGATCGAACCCGGGCCGCCGCGGTGGGAAGCCAACGACTAACCGCTTGAGCTGTTTACTTCATTAACTTATAACTGAATCATACAATCTGTATACAACAAAAGGCATGAACAAAAAATATATTCAACAATGACAACTTCAAGATACTTTTCGATGTACACACACAATTCAATGAAGTAATCACATTTCACTCGTAAAGCTGGGCCGTTCTTGAGAAGCCGCCAACTGTACAGCTACTCAAGAACTTCCCAGCATTTTATGGGACCCGAAGGTTCATTATCGTGTTCACAAGAGCCCTCTATTGGTCTCTATTCTCAGCCAGATCAATCCAATCCATACCATCCCATTGTTTCTTAAAGATCCATTTTAATATTGTCCACCCACCTATGTCTTGGTCTTTCTTGTGGTCCCCTTCCTTCCGGCTTTCCATCAATATCCTATATGCATTCCTCCTCACCCCCATTTGTACTACATGCCCTGCCCATCTCATCATCTTTTATTTGATCATTCTAATTATACTTGGAGAAGAGTACAAGTTATGAAGCTCGTCATTATGAAGTTTTCTCCAACCTCCTGTCACTTCTCTCTTCGGTCCAAACATTTTCCTCAGCACCCCGTTCTCAAACACCCTCAGTCTATGTTCCTCCTTAAAGAGACAAAGTTTCACACCCACACAGAACCACAGGCAAAATTATGGTTTTGTATATTTTTATGTTATTAGACAGCAGACGAGAAAAAAAAAGGCTCTGGATCCGAATGATAGCAAGATTAACCAAGTTCATTCTCCTCTTAATTTCCTCCTGAATCAGGTTTAGATTTTTTATTGTAGTTCAGAAATATCTGAACTGTGCCACATTTCACAATACGTAAACATATACACAGAATATGACAATATCGGCATCCAGTCTATACATCACGGTGACCACGCTGCTCTGCTACCTTCATCGCATGACCGCTCCCCGGAGAATCTAGCCGACACCTTCCGGTTGAAAGTAGTCATAATCAGTTCTACTAAAACTATCACAGCTACACAGTATTAACGTACTGGCAGACCTGTTTAATGTTTCTTGGATTTATTTGGATCTTAAATGAACTCAATGCAGAATTTCCGGTTATCCACAAATCATCTTCCTTGCCAATTTTGATCTGTGACAAAGTACAAACCACTTTTACCTACCTGCATACATTTCGAATTTGCTTACCCATGCATAAAATTATGTCGCTCGTACAATTACTTGAAAACGATTCGAGGTTTCACAGCCCTGAATATTTAGACTATGACCTTCTACGTTACGACCCTGCAACTCGAGGCAAAATATCGGTAACCACGGAGACTAGTCTCACTGCCCAGAAGACCACAACCTATCGGTATATTCGTTAGCCAACGGATAAATCACACCAAAAATAGCTTCTCTGAAATTTGAAGATTGCGTGAACATATTTCGTTGTTACACAGCACACAACTTTCTTCCTAAATCACAACCAGTGATATTAGTAGCAATAAACTCAATGGTTCAAAAAACTAAAATTAAATATAACAACATTTACCTTCCGAACCAATCGCATTCGTCTCCCATGATGTTGGCCGTCGTCATGGCAATATGCGTTGCTAGGATAAAGCTGATAATCACTAAAAATGTACTAAATTCAGTTTTATTCCTTCTGTACGAATTGTTCACATATCCACGGTGATGACAAGAATCACTTCTGCACGGACATCCACAATCGCAATTCCCACTATAGTACGCTTCACTTCCACACAATCGTTTACAGTGTCCCGTCTCCCACTTTCTGAATGGCAAAACCACTGGAACGTACATGGTTAATGTCTTCTAATAGGATACTACTAAGAGATCCAAATAAATTCGCGCCACAATGCATGACACTAAGCGATACGTATTCAAGTTCCTTCAAACAACGATGCATCAGGAAAACACGGATTACAGATATATTTCAGAACACTGGAACGCATTGGTATGTGGTAATAATCACATTCAGTTAGAACTTCAAACAAGTGTTCATAAAAAATATATCCACCTGTTCACGAAATGTCGAATTTCACAGTTCAGACCACCATGCCATACTAACACTAACCATTTCACAACACGAAAGCTCGGACTGAACTCTTGTCAACTCAGCGCGAACGAACTGACACTGGCTCACGGAGCAGTGCTGCCCTCTGCACAACTTTCCCTCCTCCTAACAACAACCAATCAGAAGTAGGCGTGCAGACGTAGGCTGAGAGATGCGGGTAAATTGTGTTTCGGCGACCCAGACTTCGGAGCCAATAAAGAATGTCAACATGACGAGAAAATTGACACCTAGTATCAAGGGCCTGGTGGACTATGTACGCTGCCCCATAAAAAGGGATAAGGAACGCACAGAATATTTTGGTATCGAAATAACTTGGAAGACTTAGAGGTGAGAAGATCCCATTAAGACCTGTGGCAGATACTGGTAAGTTGTGAAGGTGGACTGTGGATGTAAATGTCTTAGGTTAGTGACCAGTGGTGACCTTTAATATTAGAGCTGTTACATCTTCAGGTGTATGTATGTTTTTTCTAGGTTCGATTATCAGATGTCTTAACATTTTGTATCCATTTGTGACGTATTTGCCGACTGTCCCTCGTATGTTATGTCCTTTACGTTAGATACACCTGCTAAATGACATCATACTCAGTAATTCAGTGGAATATTGTTAGAAAAACACTGTCTTCTGGAATGTAGTGCTATGTAGTTGAGAGAAAGTCTGACGTTTCGGAGGAAACGAAAAATAAATTAAAGAGGAAAACAGTAAACGCAGGCGACAAGCTAGACCCGAGGAACGAAGAATAAAATAAGTGAGTAAACATTAAAAGCAGGCAGCAAGTTGTGAATGAAGATGGAGGGTACATGTTTCCCCGAAACTTCGGGTTTTCTCTGAACTACACGGTGTCACAATCCAGAAACCTATACTCTTCATAATCAATGCAATGATAGTATCAAATCAAACAAAGAATACTGTTCAGTAGTTTATTACAATAAAATTGAATATAATTAAAGGAAATTATTTTAATTGAAATCAGTGGTATATTGACAGTAACATTCTCCCCCGTGTCGTGCCTCCAGCTGTGATTAAATTCGCTTTAATTATCATGTCTGTTCGTACGAAACTGTTTGTGTGAAGGCTAGTTCGTACTGTCCTGTGCTTGTCTCTGCGGGAAACTCATTTTCATTCCAGGTTTAAAACTATTATTTTATTCATGCTGACTTCACTCGCCACGGGGTGCTTGAGGAGGAGGGGAGGAGAAATATTGTAGAATGATTAAGATACATTTCTGAATTAAAGAAATTTGAAACACATAACAAACAAGAAATTGACATGTGAGCAGCAAGTACATTACTGCCTTCAGAGAACGAAGAGTTTATCGTCATGGTCCTTTTTGTTTTTGTCCAACATCTCCATCAGCATGGTGACCAAGCGCTGTTTCCTAAAGAAGATAACATTAAAATATTTTTAGTAATAATTATTTGCAATTATGGCGCTAAATTGATAATATGGGGGACATGCGGTAGCGTAGTTGGTTGAGGCACTAACCTACAAGCCGGATGGTTGTGGCTTCGATTCCCGATAAAGTCATTGATTTTTCTTTTAATTGTCCTAACACTTCCAGCCGCACTGTGGCCCTGGAGTCGACTCAGCCTCTAACAGAAATTAATATCAGGAAACTTCCTGGGGGGTAAAGGCCGGCCAGCGCGTAAGGCTGACAAACTCACCGCCATCTGTGAGCCGATTGTCTAGAAAATGTGGAAGCCTCGACGTCTCACAACTCTATGCAACTCCAGGACTTATTACAGGGATAGCTTTAGCTCTACAACGTCTATATAAGGTATAGCACACCCTGCATACACTCGGTTTACATGTAAAACTTGTGCTAAGTACCAAGGTACTTCATGCATTCTGTAGACATAATTACATGAGAAATGTCCTATATACAAAAAACAAAAACAAACTCCGCTGGTTTAGTCCACAAGCGAACTATACCGACCGAGCGACCGCCGCTTGTCGGCGAAGTTAGTGTCAAATTTAGTGGATAGAAGGTGTCACGTGGTCAGCGCAAAGAATCCCCACGGCCGTTAATTTCGGTTCTCTAGACCGGAGCCCCTATTTCCTTGAAATAGCCCCTCAACTATCCTCACGAAGGTTCCAGACCCACTACTTATCAAAAAATCTGGTAGCGCCGGGAATCGAACCCGGACCCCTGAATCTGTAACCAGGAACTCGGACCACTAGACAGCAAAGGCGATCAATGTCCTGTACAAGTACGTTTAAATTTTCTTCCGACTTATGAACAGCTAAAATATTTTGAAGATGTAATGACTTCTTAAATATGACGTAACGGTCCGCGTCAGTAATAATGACGCAAACAGTTCCCTTATTTTTTTTCCCTTGGCACTACAGCCCCAGTGCCTAGGCCTACCTCCATGAACTTCTCCGTTCACTTCGGGTTTTCTAGATCTTACACATTCGGTAGGACTCCTTGGGCGGGTGATCAGCTCGTCGCAAGGCCTCTACCTGTACACAAACACAGAAAAACGTACACACACACAAACTAAATATCCATACCCTAAGTGGGATTCGAACCCACGATCCCGGTTTCCAAGCGAGCGAAGACAGTGCATGCCTTAGACCGCTCGGCTACCGTGACCGGCAGTTCCCTTATTAGATGTAGTAAATTACATTTGGTTCCACATTTATGTGACCAGAGACATATACCGATTACAGAGTTCTGTTTTATCCACGTTTTACCTGTTCACGAGATACTTACGCCTCATCAATGAATGTTTGCTTCTGAACATTCCCTTCCTGATCTGTCGGCGGAAATTCTTCGAATATCGGAATTCCCAGAGCCATCATTCCTTTAACAAACAAATTCATAACGTTATCCTTACATCCTTTGTAGGCCGCGCCATAGCTCAAGCGGTTAGTCGATGACTTCCCACCACGGCGGTCCGGGTTCGATCCCGGGTCTGGTCAAGTGGGATTTGTGGTAGACAAAGTGGCGTCGGTGCGGGTTTTCTCCGAGTACTTCGGTTTCCCCTGCCAATTTTCATTCCACCAAATTCTCCATTATCATAATCACCCGGGGCAGGCTACAATAGGCCAATCAGTGGCCGCCGTGCCGAGTGGACCCAGTTGGACTCCACCCCCCACTATGCGAATTAAAAAAAAATTACATCCTTTGTATTTTAAGGTTAATTATTCAGTAAGCGAATAAAATAATATATCAACTAATAATGAGGAGCTTCATAACTTGTACTCTTTTCCAAGTATAATTAGAATGGTCAAGTAAGGATGATGAGGTGGGCAGGCAATGTAGCACGAATTGACGAGACGAGGAATGTATATAGGATATTGGTGGGAAAGCCGGAAAGAAAGAGACCACTGGGAAGACAAAGACAGTATCAAAATGGATCTCAGAGAACATTTCGTTTTACGAAATGGTGCAAAATGTGACTCAAATTGGGCGTCTGCCTTGAAAATATCGGAATGGGCGATGAATTTCCATACTAATTTGTACAAACAAAAAAAAAAGTAAAGCTATCCCTCTAATAAGCCGTGGAGGTCCTTAGACTTGTGAGACGACGAGGCTCCCACAGCTTCTGGACAATCGGCTCACAGATGGCGGTGAGGTTTTCAAGCTTACTCGCCGCCCTTAACCCCACAGGAAGATTCCTGGTACTAATTTCTGTTAGAGGATGAATCGACCCCAGGGCCATGGTGCGGCTGGAAGGATGAGGTTAATTGAAAAATCCAATGACCTCATCGGGAATCGAACCCATAGTAATGATTTAAAATAAGATATTTTGCTCTATTCAATATCGTGAGGTTCCCCTTAGTATTACAGGTCAGAGGTACAAGATGAATCCAATTCTTGCTCTAACATCTCATCCTTTAAAACAATTTTAATATTATCTCTGTTAATGCCAGATCTGCCAGTGTACCGGTATAGAGTTTTGTATGCATTTCTCATCTCCCACGTGCATGCTACGTGTCCTGTTCACCTCAGTTTAAAACGATATACGTAAGTAGAAGAAAATTCGTCAATACCAAACTTCACCAAATACACAGATCTCTGAAGTGTATATATATATATATATATATCCTATCTCCCACTCCTTACCAAAGAAACGCTTACAGCGTAAAGCATCTGTCCCCCCTGAAATATATGAATAGAATGTCCCCAAGAACTTCGAATGTATGGAAAAATTCCCTCCACTTATCACTTAATGCCTGTTGAAATACGTTTTGTAAAGATCGAAATTTTCGACGATTGGCACTTCTGGAGTTAAAACGATATAAATAATTCTTCCTCACCTGTTCTGTACTCATACATTGATACGGTGCCGGCGTCCAAAGGATCCAGAGCTTTGAATATTTCTTCAATGTGCTCGCTCTTGAAGAGTAGGGGTGGTTCAGCGCGTCCCTCTCTGAATGACACGCATTTCATCAACAGGGTGGCCAGGAATTCTACAGGATCGTCTGAAAACAGGTTCAGTAGCTCTGGCATGAGACTGCCCTCAGGATGTTTTCCTCATTTTAAACAGATCACAGTGGCCACGCGGTCTAAGGCAAGAACTGCTTTAGCTCTCTCGAACTCTGGGATCGCGGGTTCGAATCCCACTCACGGCATGGATATCTATGTGTAGGTTTGTGTTTGTGTTGTCCTGTGTGTAAGCTACCGGCCTTGCGAGGGGCTGATCCCTCTACCGACTGTGTAAAAAAAGAAACTGAAGAAGAAATTAAATTATACATTGGTGTTAAACAGTCTAATTAATGAAGTTTTGAAATACGGCCATAGCATTTCGTTTTTCATTTTACAATTCACACAAACCTGTTTATGCAGCGCACTTACCGGGTTTCTTAAGCAGCAAATGTCCAAGTAAGAAGTTAAAAATTTCCGGTATATTCTTCGCTTCCAAATATTCATTTGCTTCAGTTTGAGCGTTGCAGATTCCCTGTATAAAAAAAGTAAAAGTAAGTAAAGGTATCCCCGTACCAGGCCGTGGAGGCCCATAGGGTTCTGAGACGTTGAGGCTCCCACATTATCTAGAAAATCGGCTCATAGATGGCGGTAAAGTTGTCAGCCTTACGTGCCGGCCGCGCTTTACTCCACAGGAAAATTATTTAATTAATTTCTGGTACTCATTTCTGTTAGAGGCTGAGTGAACCCCACGGTCATAGTGCGGCTGGAAGGATAAGGTCAACTGAAAAAAAAAATCCAATGATCTCATCGGGACTTGAACCCGCGACCTTTCGTCTTGTAGCATAGCCCCTCAACCAACTACGCCTGTATACAAAGAAAAACCCCAGAATGTAGTATTCTCCATATTTACCGCCACTGGAACCTCAAGTGTCACAAAATATCTTCTTTTTAAAAAGTGTACTTTTACAATTATGCACATTTTAATATTTTGTTATTAATTAAAGGAAATTCATAATAACTTAAACATTGCAAAAAAAATTTTAATATATTTTGATAATATAATTAAGAAAACCGAAGTACCTCTGTTGTTACTCACTCACTCACTCACTCATGGAGCTGAGCACTTCTTGAGGAGCCGCCAATTCTGCAGCTGCTCAAGAACTTCCAATCATTTTATGGAACCCGAAGGTTCATTACCGTGTTCACAAGAGCCCTTCACTGGTCCATATCCTGAGGCAGATCCAGCCAATCCATTCCATCCCATCCTATCTCTCTAAGATCTACTTTAATATTATCCACCCACCTACGTCTTGGTCTTCCCTGTGGTTTCCTTTTTTTTCGGCTTTACCACCAATACCCTATACGCATTCTTCCTTGCCTCCATTCGTGCTACATGCCCTGCCCACCTCATCGTCCTTGACTTGATCATTCTAATTATACTTGGCAAGAGTACAAGTTATGAAGCTCCTCATTATGCAGTTTTCTCCAACCTCCTGTCACTTCATCTCTCTTCCGTCCAAATATTCTCCTCAACACCCTGTTCTCAAACACCCTCAGTCTATGTTCCTCCCTTAATGTCAGAGACCAAGTTTCACACCCATACAGAACCAACTTCTGTTGTCAGTAATTTTAATTTATCTTACTTAAAAGCACAATAGACCACTGTAGGTCGCGGTGCAAGGGCCAAGGAGTCCTACCCCTCATACATTCATTCAAACCTTACTTGAGCGTTTTCAGTATATATATATATTCACACAAAAGTGAGAACATTTCCCGGAATGAACGAGAGTTCTTATATAAATGAACTTCATGTGAGTGAAGCAGTATTTTGACACTTCATATCCAGCCCATAAAGTCCCACCTTTTGACTCACACTGATTTAGTTTTAAGAACACTGATTTAATATACAAAGAAATCCAAGGTACATCCCTGCAGCTACAGCTACTAACAAACATGTTAAAAACTGGACAATTAAGCCTATATGAAAACGGAAATAGATTTATGCCTCAGAGAACCTACAACAATACAAGGTATTAAAACTTCATGTGAGAAGACATTTCAACAGTTGTACAGAATGCGTACTTTGGTTATGTACGTAAAGTAATTCAACATTTTCTGTACTTACTCGTACTTCTTCCGCAACTGACAACTTGTCAGACATCTCTTCCATTTCTTCAGTTACTTATCTGTAATTATTGATGTCTTATTTTGCTATTTGCACCTTTTATGCCTCTTACCGTCTTATTTTAGATTTCAGTCAACTTACATTAATTGTTGGCTAGCATATAAACAGTTGCACGCGAGAAAACAATTGCCTGTCTGCATATATCGAAGTCAGAGATCAAAGAAAGCGAGATATAAGAACGAAGAACAAGCTAAACTGCCACTTAGATTATCATACTGATCCTCTGAATATTAAAACATACAACCATTCTTTATTTAGCTAAAGAGCCATTTGACTGTGCGTAAAATAAGTATTATCTTACCGAGTATTTCGGCAGAAAATTGAAAGAAAACCCTGTGTCTAATATCACACCTTTAAAGTATAAAGTATGTAGGAAATTTCCATGCATACATAACCCTCAAACACCAAGGTTGATCTGTCTTACGAAACAGCACGGCAACTAATCCCAAAAGATTGTATTGTTGTCACAGCCGCGAGAAAAATAAATCTCACTAAAGAATATTTTTTATCAATACATTTTAAACTTCACTGAATACAAGTCGTAAGTAATTGCCATGTTTTTAGTTTTAAAACTCAGAACTTTAATTAGTCTTTATAAACTGATAATGCATTTGGATACAACTACCTAAAATCATTGCATATTTTTATACTATTCTATTCAATTCCTCCACTAAAACCTGGTAGCTGCCTACCCACAGTATTTCCATCCTAAAATATCCTCTCGAATACTTAGGCGATCCTTGTCGGGTTTCATAAAATAAACCGTTTCGGTCCAATTTCGGGGTTGTAATAGACTTTTCAAAGGCTATTGGAGTTATTGGTTATAAATTATTTTCCGTATTTTGTGTTGACGTATCCCTCAAGTGAGCAGAGAAAGGTATAAAAAGGGCAGATTTTATTGCACTTGCTTCCTGAAATACTTCATGGTCAGTGATGCTTTTATTTAGCCTTCACAGTTTGGGCGCCTCTTTATTGTGCTTGTTTAAGGGAAGTGTACGTCTGGGGAATTAGACCGCAGCAAAGAAGTGGCCTCAGCAGGTCCCAGATGCATCTTTGAAAGGAGGCCGGCTTTCCCTGAACCAGTCTGAACGCTATGTAGTACAGAAAAATCTGTTTCCTCTTCTGGGAAACGAACCCCAGCCCGTAGCCAGTCGCTATACCGACTGAGTTACACCGGATCCCCTCAGACGAGAATAAATAAGAAAATGGGAAAAATTACATAATGAAAAATTATATAATTAATTATAGTGATAGTGTCAAGGACGGACAGGTGAGTACAGAATGTAGCACGCATTAGAAAGACAAGAAATGCATACAAAATTCTAGTCGGAAGAGCTGAAGGGAGTATATTATTTTGGAGACGTAAGTACAGACTGTGTAATAATATTGTGGCATGTCGATTACTCAAAAATTTCCCAGAATTTTATGGAACTCGAAGGTTCATCACCGTGTTCACGAGAGCCCTCCATTGGTCCCTATATTGAGACAGATCAATCCAGTCCATACCATCCCGTCCTATATCTTTAAGATCCATTTTAATAGTATCCTCCCACCTACGTCTACACTTCCCTAGTGATCTATTTCCTTCTGGTTTCCCCACCAAAATCCTATATCCATTTCTCGTCTCCCCCATTCATGCTACATGCCCTGCCCACCTCATCCTCCTTGATTTGATCATTCTAATTATACTTGGAGAAGAGTACAAATTATGAAGCTCCTCATTAGGCCGTACTTATATATTTTACATTAAAATCTTTTAAAGGCGACTATAAGCAGTAAGGACATAATGTTTAAACGTTACGGTGTTTAGGGTGTGTCCACAGGTATCGACACGGACGTTGCCAGTGCTCAGATTATCCGAGCACAGACATTCACACAGGCTCCGTTATGTGTCTTGTGTTATGAACAATAGCAGAACATTCCTGTGTTTGAATCCCACTGATCCTTCCCCAGCAATAGTATTTTCATTGTTCCACCTGTTGATTTCATGTTGGCGCCTGTGGTTTTCCAGTGTACCTGTCAGAAGCTGTCCCAAATCCATCCAGTAATTGAAATAACGGGCCCTGGGTACAAGTACCAAGTAACTCTTAAGCCTCGCATTTAGAACAGGTATCAGCTTAGTGAGGTTATGTTGTTCAGGTTGTAAAGCGGCTGTGAGAACAGCAAATCCTGCGGTATTCCATCCGACAATCCTGGTGCTCGGTGGCTACTGAAATTGTTTCTCTTCTTATCTTTCAAGTTTAGATCCTATGGCTTGTGCCTTCATCAGTTGAATCCATCTTCACATCCTGTAGTCTTGTGTACTTCCGCTTTATAATTTCATACTATAGCATACTAAGTAATGACTCAAAAACAATGCACGTTGCTAGGCAATGACGGGGGCCGCGCCATGGCTCAAGCGGTTAGTCGCTGGCTTCCCACAGCGGCGTCCCGGGTTCGATCCCGGGTCTGGTCAAATGGATTTGTGGTGGACAAAGTGACGCTGGGGCAGGTTTTCTCAGAGTTTTTCGGTTTCCCCTGCCAATCTTAATTCCATCAATTGCTCCACAATCACGCTCACCTATCATCTGGGGCTGGTACAATAGGCCAGAAGTGGCCGCAGTACGATGGACTCAATCCCACCCCTCTAGCAATAAAAAATCAATAGGTAAGGACCGCAAAATAAGCAAATATACGGCAGTCGTTGCTGTGTAAAAGGTCAAGAAACTGAAAAAGATGCCAAGGACCAAAGGCTGCAGGGCCATAGATAGATGTGTTGATTATTGTATGAAAATGATATCTATAGAATAAGTTAGTTATCACGATCATTATCATCATCTTCATTGATCAGGCTGAACGTAGTCTGTTCCGTCCTCTTGAAGCGTACGCTGATCTTTCCATCTAAGCTATGGGCTTCCAATATTTCATTTCGTTTTTAGGTTTTATGTTAGAATTTGTTTCGGAAATTCGTTTTGTTTTCCATTCGTAGAACGTGATATTGTCACTGTGATCTGGATTTTAGAATTTTAGAATAAGATTTTCAGCTCTTCCCTAATTATAATATTTCGTATTTGGTCTTTCCTTCTATAACCTGCTACATTCCTCAATAATTTAATTCTGCACTCTCAGTTTTTGCTACTCTTTTTTTTTCTTGGTACAGAAATTAGTTATCTCTGTCCTTACAAGGAGGAGTACCCACGGTTGACAATTACTGAAGTGGTGGCAAGTCAACCAAAAGCAACACAAACTACTGCTATGTCGCCTCTAACATTTTCAGAGTTTCAGTTCTTGCATTGGTTTATATTGATGATGAAAAATGAAGCGAAAACCTGAACAATTACCAGTTGCAAAAAGCTCGAGAACTGATCCGCCTTTGGGTCAGCTTGCGTCTTTTTTCACCAACATTTTCGGGGAATCTTCAAGCCAAGAAGAGACTTAATCCTCGTAGGCAGAGACAACAATGAGAAACCTGTTTTCGGCGACATTTTTACTGGAAGGTAGAATTTCTAACTAAGATTGTGTTTCCTTCCAAAAGGAATGGACAAGCCGTCCTTCCCGAACAATTTAAAGGGCGTGGTTGTAAAGGGAAAGCGGGGGGTCGGTTATATCCCCGCAAGGGGGCACGTGAAGCCCCTCAAACTAGAATCTTTAGTTCATCAGTCAGCCGGAACAGCAGGTGGAAAAAGAAGGTACATGGGACAAAAACTGAACATTGTGTTTATGGGGAAATGATTTGTCTTGTGGTGCTGTGATAGCTCAGTCGGTATGTCGACTGGCTAATGGTTGGATGGTCGAGGGTTCGGAGTTCGTGTTCCGGTAGTGGAAGACATTTCCTTTCTCCACGCTGTCTAGACTGGCTCTGGGGCCCACCCAGCCTTCTATGCATTGGGTACCGGAGGTATAACGGCCGGGGCTTGAAGCTGATCATTGACTTTTAACTAGTGTCGAGGTCAAGAAGAAGTGGATTTATACGTCCACTCCTCCATACGTATAGTTAAGCACTGGGGCAGATTTATATTTTTATACCTTGTGCTCCTCTGATTGACCATACAGATTTATGAGAAATAAGTTATGAAGAATTCGATAAAGGTAAGGTCCCGTTTCCCAGATGTACGTTATCCGTAAGTGGATTCTCAGCCAGATGAATCCAATCAATACTGTCACACTTTCTCTATGTAAAAATTAATTTTATTCGAGTATTTCCTTTTATCTGTGCATAGATCTCCAATGCCGTTTTTGTTTATTAGATTTTCCAATTAAAATGTTACAACGCCACGTTATCCGACAGCGAAACTTGGAACAGTGAGAAAACCCGTAAAGGAATCAGTAGTACGAATGCTCAAAAACCTTTAGGCCTTTAGGCTTTGTAACTACAGCTGGTACATATCTAAGTGAATCAGTTACGAAACCTGAAAAAAAAAACTATAAATGAATCAACAGTGTTAAAATTCCTAAAACTTTTAGACATTTTAACATTTCAAGTTTAAAATCATTTTAACATTTTAAAACGTAATTAAAATTTCAGGAGGTTGCAGAAAACTGCATAAAGATGAGCTTCATAACTTGTACGCTTCTCTAAGTATAATTAGAATGATCAAGTCAAGGAGGATGGGATAGGCACGGCATGTAGCACGAATGGGGAAAGAGGAATGCATATAGGATATTGGTGGGAAAGCCAAATGGAAACAGACCACAGGGAAGACCAAGACATAGGTGGGTAGACAATATTAAGAGGGATCTTAGAAAGATACGATAGGATGATATGGATTGGATTAATCTGGCTCAAAATAGGGACCGGTGGAGGGCTCTTGTGAACACGGTAATGAACTTCGAGTTCCATGAAATGCTGAGAAGTTCTTCAGTAGCTTCACAACTGGTGATTTCTCAAGAAGGGTTCAACTCCAAGAGAGGGAAAGGTAAAATTTTCCCTATGCTTAAATAATTAAGTACTATGAAGAAAGCAGTCTTTTGGGATTTGTCACCGTGTATATGTGGTGTTAACAGACGTCTGCTTTTACAGGTTCTCACGGTCTCTTAGCTTGCAGATTTCTTATATTTTTTCTTCTACCCTGAAGATGGAGGCGATACGTTCCTCCG